TGCCTTACAGAAACTGGGGAAGCGATAATTTAATGCATATTTGATGCTTTGGGGGACTTTACAGGTTCGGGATGTCATTTCGATCAGAATTCACAATTGCAGTTGCCACTACCACTAACTTCTTCTTTTTGTATAGCATGTCACCTGATGTGACAACTTCAAACTTTGTCACTACTGAGACTGCCTTCATTACAGATGAGACATCCCTCAATCTCATATGGTACTACATGGATTTGCTCCGTAACATTTCAATAAACTTATTGATGAGTACCTCATCATGATCTTTAGGAGATATAATAAGAAACACTTTTCTGTATAATCTGCTTAAATTGTCTGCTTTTATAGCCAAGTTATTTTAGTTTCTTCACGTTTGAGCTTTGAACTTAATCCTGTAGAAAATACCCAGCTCTCTACAGAGTCAATTCTGTGGCACAACTCACTTACAAATGTGTCACAGTAATTGAGTCACGCCTTGTCCAAATGCTTTTTGGTATCAAGCACTGAACCATATAAATTCAGCATCAGGCATTGTACTGCCTTTAATGTAAGGGTCCAGGTATTTTTTTGATTTTCTCTTGAACACTGGCTGATTGACTTTGTTTGTTTGTTATGAATTTTGCTCAAAGCTACATGACGGCTATCTGCTCTAGCCGTCCCTAATTTAGCAGTGTAAGACTAAAGGGAAGGTACCTAATCATCACCACCCACAGCCAACTCTTGGACTAGTATTTTACCAACGAATAGTGGGATTGACCGTCACATTATAACGTTCCCACGGCTGAAAGGGCGAGCATGTTTGGTGTGGCGGGGATTCGAACCCGCGACCCGTAGATTGCGAGTCGAGTGCTTTAACCACCTGGCCATGTCGGACCAGATTGACTTGGTTTACCCAATCATTGAGTGGAGCGTACAGGCTCAAACTGCCAGCATTTCTGCCGAAATTCGGCTTTGAAGTCTCTTGACTAATTTCAAATTTCACTAAATCATAATGAGGTACTACCTGTTCCACCTGATGTCATTGCAGTGAAGTATGTCTAGCACACATATCTTGATACTCTCCTCAACTTTATCTCATGTCGTGCAACCCTGGGGCTTATTCACAAGCACTTTGGAGGCCCATAGGGACAGCTCCAGTTCGGTAAGTCTCGAGATGTTCAGGCCATTCGCTGTCGTGATGAGTTTGATGACCCTTCTCTACTACTCCTATGCTCCTCCATACGGGGTGTAACCATTTCAGGTTGAAAGAGGGGTGGTGTCTGGGATTGTCTTGCAAGGTACTCTTTAACCTCTTGGATCAGAAGATGGATCAACAACACCTACATTGTTCTTACCATGGATGGTGAAGGTTCTAGGTTGTATGAAAAATCAGTGTTTGGTTACCTAAATTTGCTATGCTTCTATGGAAATATTTGATTTAAATGCTCTAACGATTTTGTTTGTTTGTTTTGTAGTTAAACACAAAGATACACAGTGAGTTATCTGTGCTGTGCTCACCACGGATATAATAAACCTGGTTTGTAGTGTTATAAGTCTGCAGAATTACTGCTGCACCACCTAAAAAAAGGAAGTCAGATATACAACAAGTCCACAGGTTACATACGTTAACCAATGTTCTACATGCAATCTTAAGACAAGCCATTTGTAAAGGTTTCTTAATTGCTTGTTTGAATAAGTTAACTTCCAAGAAGTCAACACAGTAACACTAGTTTGAGACTTAAAAATAAATGTTGCAGTATGTAGCCTTTAACTGTACTGAAGAATTTACACATCCTTTCGACCTAGTAGCATGCAAGCAACGAGAATGTTATAATTAGATGCAGAAACTGCATGACAATTAAGAATAATATCACATGAATATACCCAAATAATAATATATTCTATACTAATTATGGAAGAGCGAATTCATAATTATTTCAGTCATTATATTTATCCCAAGCAGTGTGGAATCAAAGGCAATAGTATCTAAAATCGGCTTCTGCACATATTGATATAATATTTACTAAAAAATAAAAATTATATTTATATCTCTTTTTTTTATTTTGGTACAATGTGGTATTATAACATTTTTAATTTTTTGGGGAAATGCAATGAATTGTTCTGATCATTCTTATTTGTATCGATTATTCATAAAGCATATAACCCGAAACATAGTGCATTTGTAAATTTCTGCAGTATCTTTTCTTTTGACATGGTATGCATCTATTAGAATCTATGCATGCTATCCTCGAAATTCTTTTAATGTGAAATTTGGCGTTTAATGGAGTGTTATTTCATCCAATGCTGTCAAAGAAAAATTTATGAAAGTAACTTTAAGGCCGAATGGTGCCTAATGGTTAGCATACAGGGCTTTGAAGCATAAAGTTCAAGGTTTGAACCACAATATACCTGTGAAGATGCTCTGCTTCATGCTCTACTTGAACCTGGGCTAGGCTGAACGTGGCTTAATGGTTAGCACCCCAGACTGTGGAATGTTTGGTTCAATGCTCGCATCCCTTTACCACAAAAAAATAAACAAAAATATTTCTTCGCATTTTGAGACCATTGGTGTATTATTAGGGTGATGGCCAAATCCCACAGTTCAGTCAGGCAAGTGTAGCCCAAAAGTTGCCTGTTGACTAGCTGTTTTTCCTTTAGTATATCAGTTCAAAATCAGTGTTGTAAGAGAACCTCCCCAGTGACAGGAAAACCTGTGATAATGAGGGACAAGAGGTCATCCCATCTACACTCAATAAACCATGGAGAAGGAAACCACATACAAAAAAAGACTTTGTGAGTGGATAGTTTAGTGTACTGTCTCAATAGTGTTGCGTCAGCGAGTCACATGACTACAGTGACGCCACGTTCTAGAACTATCCTGTACTTTGGCGAATGCTCTAGTATTGACTAGATAGAGGGTAGACTGGTATATATAAGAGGGGGACAACGTGACGCAAAAAGGTAATGTCTGTGTAGATAGTGAGTAATTGAACTGCAGTCAGAAGTATTATTGACGTTCGTTGTTATAGCGTTTGTTTAGCGTGATTGTTGAAGTTGAGTGTATCGGTAAAGTTATATTCTGGAAGAATAAACCAGTTTTATTAAGTGAATACTTGTGTCGCTAAAGTTTCGTCGGAACGAAGTTACGGAAAAATCAATTAACAAACGGAGACGTAACAATAGTATATTAGAATTGTTCAAGGGAATTCACAATTCAGGAAGGGGCAGTGCTGTAAGCTATATTTTCAATGCTATAATTTTGTTGTTTGGTAAAGGGAGCTGCTAATGATGGTGATATAATAATTGAAAAGCTGCATCTAATATCTAGAGACAAGGGTAGATTATCTGTAAATACAAATAATCAGTTAGTAAAATAAATGTGTATTCAGTGAGCTTATGAATTCAGTGTCAGAAAAATTGTTCACAGTTCAGGGTTAGAAGTGAGATTTATTGAGTCTGTTCAGTTGCAAGATCGATTAGCGAGGAAGTTCTGTAAAGTTATTTATGAGTTAAGCATGCTTACTATTAACCTTAGAATTTCTGTTGAAACGCTATTTGCGCATTAAGTCCTTTAACTACAAGAGAAAATAGCTTATAACAGAAGTCAATGAAGAAATAAACTATTTGTTATTGTTACATGGAGTGGATTTCAAATTATTTCTATCAGATAATCCAAAAGAACTCACCCGACCATAGAACACTTTACAACATTGGTAACAGCTAGCGCAGATATATATTGAGTAGTTTTGAATGAATATTGGAAAACATACAAATTATTTTGCAAGGTTTTATATATATATAGTTCTATACTCATAACTAATAATACTTGAATAATATGTGCCTATCCTGTCAGAATTATTTTATCCGGCATGGCCGAATTGGTTAGGGCGCTCGACTCTGCATCTGAGGGTTGAGGGTTCGAATCCTGTTGCCCAACACGATCGCCTTTTCAGCCGTGGGAGCTTTATAACTTGACAGACAATCTATAAAAGTCTGTAAAAGAGGAGCCCAAGAGATGACTCTTAGGGACAGCTATCGCAGATAGCCCTCGTGTAGCTTTGTGCTAAATTCAACAAACACAATTAATTATTCGTATTGTATAATGGACTAGCTTGGAAATTAATTGCGAACTATTCTCTTCCTCACATTTTATAGAGAAAATGGAAAAAAAAATCCCAATTAAACAAATAAACTGCCTGATCCTCAGATTTCTGATTTGGCTGTTTGGCATAAGGTACTGTTCAAGTTGATTCTATCAAAGTAACTTTAAATATGTGCCTTTGTTAATATAAGACATTTGGCTATTTTAATAAAGTTACAAAATTGAAAATTTCCTTAAATATCTAAACTTAAGTTACTAATTGAGAAAGAACTAAATGAAATATCTGAAGCAACTTTTCATAAGGGGAAAAATAAGCCTTAGAAAATTGTACTGACAAAGCAAGTTTTATGTTTAAACCCAAAAGCACAATATAGTAATACTTATTAGAGAAAATTCCAGATACAGGGTGATCATTTGTCAAACTAAATGCAGTGTTCTTTGTTGGTATTAGCATTTATTACTATGTAATTTCATTTCGACAAAAATAAAAAAAAAGTACCTGTCATTTTCTAGGCGTTTTGTTTTGGTATCTTACTTTTTACCAGACTCTTATACTAACAAGTTAGGTTAGAAAGTAGAATATGAATTATCTCAACTTATTTGATTTCTATATTAACTTTGAATAAGATTGCTAGTTGTTTTTAGAATAAACACAAACAATATCTATGGGATTTTTAGTCTGTTTTACTTCACAATATAGACAATGTTTTGATGGATACAACAAATGCCAAAATACTTTCAGTCTAATTCTCGTATTTGTACAAAAAGTTAAACTACATTAACTAGAAATTTGTGACTCGCAGGTGAATTTTAAATGTTTTAAAATTATGATATAACACACATCTTTATTTTTTAAATAAATGAGATTATTAAAAATAACAAAACGGAAATACGTCATTGGAATGCGTAAGCGATGGACCGAAGCGCTGGTCGTTCTGAGTCATACAAACACCTCTGTATACCGTCAAACTCAAAGTGTTTAACTAACAACGATGGCTAGAGAGTATGATCATTTGTTTAAACTTCTTATAATTGGTGACAGTGGTGAGTTTTTATACTTTAACCAAATTATATATTTAGGAGTATTTTGCAAATTTGGGTGGATTTTGCAAAAAACAGTTACGAATAGAAATTAATTTTTTTTTACTTAACTTGTGCTAAGCCTAACGATGTTTTAGGCGTATAACGTTTCAGGTTATTATATATTAGTCTACTTCAGTACTTTGCCGGTGAAAGTAAAAGCGCCACCTTTAATTGTTTTCTTTATGGCTATACGTAATCTTAGTTTTTAAACATTTAAATATATTCACATTTATTGTCTTGATATTTTGAAAGAGCTTTAAATGCAAATACACCAAAGCTTTGTTTATTTAATATTAGAAAGAAATACATTATTAAAAATCACACAAGTTTCTAATCGGTTGTACATAGAAAAAATACAACTTTTGTTTATTTTAATTTTTAATCACAACATTTGACCAGGCCTACCTCTCTGACATCATCAGGTGGGATACAAGAACTGAGGCTAACAGAATTTTAATTTAAAAAGAAGAATTGCGTGAGAATCTATAACAGTAGTAAGTTACAAGCATACAATTAACCAATTGCAAACAATAAAGTAATTTATCAATGAACTGTCAAATTTGTTGTAATAAATAAAACTTTCAGGCTTGTCTCTAAGTATTGAAATTATTTTTTTTCAATTAAATTCTGTTACACTCAGTTCTTGCATCTCACCTGATGATGCCAGGTAAACCCGGTGAAACATTGTGAATAAAATAAAAGTTTTATTATGTACAATAAAAACTTGTGTGAAAGCTTCATTTTAATTTTTGTAAATCACTAAATGTATTGAATTTATAATTTGAAGTTTACCATAACTGTTGTTTACACTTTTCTGAAGTGATATTTAAACTTAAAGTAAAAACCAACACATAAATTTGTTCATTATTTTGTGCAGTTAAGCTTTAAGATCATACTGAAGACTTGATAACCATACTTTTTTCTGTTAACTTGTATTATGTGTGTGTGTGGTGTATCATTGCCAATCCATATTTCATTTAGTGTATTTAGGTTTTGTACTAAATTGTTATTGATAAATAAGCCTAACACTGAAGTTGTGCTAATTGTACAGCTGGTTTGACAGATTATGATATAAATGGTAAAATGAAAATTGTATAGTAAGTTTGTCATTGAATTTTATCTTGATTTACAGGAGTTGGAAAAAGTAGCTTGTTACTTAGGTTTGCTGATAACACATTTTCTGGTAAGTTCAGTATTGGAATACTTTTTAATCTCTCATGTTTAGTGAAAAGTTTCTCTATTCCCTAACATTTATTAATTATGCATACATGTATTAGTATGAAGGTTGGATACCAGTATTTGTCACAGTTACTATGACATTATTTTTGTCTAACAGTTGATGAGGTATGAGATTCATATTGTTCAAAACTTGTAGTTTCTACCTAATTTTTGTTAGCATTTCATGATATATCTGTATTCTGAAGTGGAACCATAACACTTATATTTTATACTTGTGTAGAAAATTAATGATTGTGATCCCTTTTGTTTAACTTTTTCAACTTTGTTTTTTCAAGAAAACATTAACTAGTCATATGTCATCTAAGTTAAGTCAGAACTTCTTTGGAAACATTTTGGAGAATTTTAAAGCTATAATACATGTATATGCTTAACATATCTCACTGTTTTATGTTTGAACTGATTGCATTTACTAATTAAATCAAAAAGACATGTCACAAATTATCTTCTTTCTCTTCTCATTTTTAAAAACTTGCACATATTTTTTGTATACAAAATTGTTATTAATATAAGAAAAATTCTTTTGAAGACGGGGTGCATATAAAGATCCCCAATCTGCTTTCTACATATAATGATTGCCTCACAAATTTTAAAGTAGGGACAGTGGCCTTCCAAGTAGGTCATTGTGCTGTAGTACTGGTAGAGTTTTTAGAATTTATGACTATTATATTAATTTAAATCCATCCTGTAACCATAACAAAAACTAAGACTTGTTTCTTAAAATATCGGACATTAAACAGTCTTTTACGTGTTTTTTAACATGCTGATCTGTTTTGGTACAATTTGGCCTCCAAATTCCCAAGATAACAAGTTGTACCATTATACTTTGCTTTTTGGACAAGTACTTTTTTTTATACATTAATTTTTAGTACAACTTTGTACCTATAATTCTTTGTAACCAACTCAGGGAAACAAACTATCACAAGTCGTTTTATTTAATAGACAAACACGTACTTAACCCAACTGTAAAATCCTAGTATATTGGATATTCTTCAAGTTGCTCAAATTTGAAGTCAAACAATATAAAATTAGAAAATCATTAATTCTTAAACTAAAAATTTTGATAAGTAAAAATTTATCATGCAGTGTCGGAAAAATTGTTATGGAATGAATAAGAATAAAAATAGAAAGTCTAATTAGGTAACTTAGTACTAATGTGTTAACTCTCAGCACGGGCTTGGTCCCTGGGACCGACCTCGTAACCATTTTGTGCTTGTTATAATTTTCATACTATGACTTTTAAATTAGTAAGCGAATGTTATTGAAATTTGGTACATTATCAGTAAACATTACAGTGCTTTCATACTCAAAATATCAAATATTTTTATTAAGTCTTGAGGTTTGTAAGGCAATGTTTTTCTCATGCTTTTTTTTCTTTTCACATGTTGCCTATCTAACATGCAAAGTAATTTTCATTTTAAGATTAAATATACTTTTATGCATCAGAAAATTTTCAAATTTTACAATGCAAAATCTTTATAATGTCCAGATAGGTATCAAATATTTCTTAAGAAAAAACTATATTTTATCTGTTATTTTCAGTAAGGAATCTCTGTATGGGTTTGGCAGATTTGACTGATCTCGTAACCACCATAAAAAAATCAGAAAATAAATATAAATTATTCCTCGTTCATTCTAGTATGAACACAAATTATAACATGAAAATAAATGTTTAGACTAAATAGCTTAAATCTCATAACTTTATAAATTTATATATATTTATTATTTTTATTATGTTGACCTTTCAGTCATGCCTGGCTAATAATACAAAAGTTACAAGGACATGGCACATGTGCATTCATGTTACCATATACAATAACATAAAACTGACCTTTGGTCTTTACAAAGTAACTTATCTTGGCTGTATTTTAGTAGACTAGTATTTTGGTAAATACAGTCACATTTTAATTATTATACATTATATATCTATATAGATTATTGTTATTTTGAAATAAGTTCTTCAATTTATTTTTCTTAAAACATAGAATAGTAAACAAAGAAGTAAAGCAAACAATTATCTCTTCTAGTTATGACCTTTGTACTCAGTTGCTGCTTGATGAAGGTTGCTAAGCCTCTAAAAATTTTGCACATGGAGGATATGGAACAAAATAATTTTTTTAGGTGTTATATATATACATTTGAATGACTAAAAAAACCCTAAATTACCACATCAATACCATAGAATTCCACTAAAATTTATCAAGCTAACTAAGATGTATTTTAGTCTACAAAAATATGAAATTTCAAGCAGATTAAAGACGCATCCTACCTCCTTGAAATATTGGTTCAAAAGAAAGCAATGGCATCCAAGCCAGTTAAAATGGCTGAGAAAGCCACTAGGGGGACATTCTGAGCTTCCAATTGGTTATTCATGTCATATATAGAAGTAAGTGTGTATAAGGGAGCATTTCCAAAAATGGAAAGAGGTGGGAGGGGTGCCACTGTGTTTGATGTATTACATTAGCAATATCTTAGCAAACAGAAAAGATAAGACATTCTTATTTTATATTCTAGCTTGTCAATATTGGTAATTTGAGTTTCTAATTCATATTAAACTGTGCCACTGTGTTTGATTTATTACATTAGCAATATCTTAGCAGACAGAAAAGATAAGACTTTCTTATTTTATATTCAAGCTTCTCAGTATTGGTAATTCGAGTTTCTAATTCATATTAAACTGTGCCACTGTGTTTGATTTATTACATTAGCAGTATCTTAGCAAACAGAAAAGATAAGACGTTCTTATTTTATATTCTAGCTTGTCAATATTGGTAATTTGAGTTTCTTATTCATATTAAACTATACACTTAGTATTTTGACTTCACAAACATCTAATTTGAACCAGTGCTGCATTCAGTGTACCACGTGACACACTAAACTCGCTTTTTATTTGTGTTTTTAATATTTACTTTTAAATTGAGTAATGTTTAGTACTAAAATTTGAATTATAATCTACAATTTGATACATAACTTATTGACATAAATTCATGAAATAGTAGTTCAATAAAATTTTGAATGAGAGTCAACAAACGAGATGACATGGCCTTTCATCTGTAACCCATCTCCAAAGGGTTAAAAACATTTAAACTTCTCCATACTAGTTGCTGTAATGTTTTATTTTTATGATAAATAGTAGAACATGCTTCAACTCTTTAAAAGTTAGCTTTGTAACACTGTAACTGAATTTTCAGTTTTTTTTAAATATAATAATGTTCACTATATTAATATAGTACTTTAGCAATTTATCAAACTTTGCACCTCTTTAGATTGCATCTAGAGCTGGGTTATTAGTGGAATTTGATAATCTGTTGTAACTGCCATGCTCATTAATCAATTACATTCAACTTAAAAATTACTAATACGAAACTTGGATATTTGGAATAATAATAAAAAATAGTAATAGTTAGAAACACTAATGTTGATTAGCTGATTATTTTTATGAGTTGTGACACTAATAGATTAAGATGACTGAACATGATTTTGTAAATTTTTTATCCTATGGTAAAGAAAAAATTGTGTATATTTTTCTATGAACTCTCAACATTTGTTTTTGTAGTAGTTAACTTGGAAATATGTCACTACAGGTCATATTTTTGCTCTTCAAACTATAGTACCTTAAGCATTATATTTTCTTTGGTTTTAATATTTATGAAATGGGGTTGTCTCTTCAGGATGGGATTGTGTTTATCTGTGTTCTACAAACATAACTATGTCAGGTAGATATGATGCTGTACTTGCATAGAATTTTTTAAGTGTACATCAGTATTTTTCAAAATACCTTTCAGTTAACTTTCTTGCTTTGTAATTCTTTATCAACATTTGTTAGGAAATTACATCACAACCATTGGTGTGGATTTCAAGATTAGGACAATTGAAGTGGATGGAGAACGGGTGAAACTCCAGATCTGGGACACAGCTGGACAGGAACGTTTTCGAACAATTACATCAACGTGAGCATTTGGTTTCGAGCTAGTTCAAGTTTATTATATGAAATAAATACATAAAAGATGAAGGTTATACTATAGAACTCTGTTTGAAGGTTTATTTGTTAGCCAGGTATTCAAAGATAGTTTTAAATGTTTAAAAGGTTCATAAGGCACCATTCAACCAGTGTCAGGTTTTTCTTTTGTTAACAGAAACCATTTGACAGTGTTTGATTAGTAATTGCAAATTAAATGTGAATCATTTTGAAAATATTATCTGTTGATTTGTATAATGCCCATTACTTAAACAAGAGTTGTATTAAAAATGCATATACACATACACAACACACTACAAAAATGCTATATATAGCAGCTCCTGTGCATTGTAGCAAACTGTTATGGAGGAGCACAGGGTGTAATGGTTGCATTGGGCAAATATCTTATTTGCAGATGAATTATACTTCACACTACAGTTGGATATGTATGAGCTTGGGTGATGGCTGAGACCTGTTCCATCCACAAAACCACAAAGGAAATACATGCATAGAGTAGTCCTGACATATTAGCATTGGCAGAAATCAGCATTGGAGTTTATATTGATCCTTACTATTATATGACACTATGAATGCCATCCTATGGAGTTTTACAACCATCTTTGTTGTCTCGTGCATGTGCAGTTAATCAGAACTTTCTTCCAATGGATGATAATGAACATCTCAATAATGTTCAACTGGTTAGCAACTTCTTGGAATGAGATAGTACTGAAGGAATGGTCAAACCAGTTTACCTACAGATTTGAATTTGATTGAACTCCATAGCTCATTGATTCACTCGTTTTAAGTATACTATACTGCTGTACGACTTACATTAGTATTCAAGGTGAGCATATGCCTTATTATCAAATAATTTATGGTAATTTATTGGACTGCAAAGTGTTTAGTATCAAAGGAGCATTTGTGGACATGGACTCCTCTACTATATATTTGAATATCTGACCACATGACTAGTCATCTAACACTTTTTCATGAAAATGGACTCAGAGGTGCCATTGAATAATTAATAATATTAGCTGTGCCTTATTATAGTTAGCATGTAATTACAGTTATCTGTAATTTGAGCATTTTAATATTTCAAATACAAAGATCTAAAATTGTCTTCTATGTTGTCTAACATATATAGTAATTGTTTAAGGTATTATCGAGGAACCCATGGAGTTATTGTAGTGTATGATGTCACAAATGGAGAGTCCTTTGCAAATGTCAAGAGGTGGCTACATGAGATTGATCAAAACTGTGATGTAGTCAACCGAATCCTAGGTAAGCCTTTCCTTTTGTCATCCTCATAATAGAAGTACATATTTATTCTTACATTTTTTCAATTACTTGTGGTTCAAACATTACATTTGTTGTTTGTGTTAGAATGTTTACTCAATGATATGATTTAGAACAGAGTCCAATTCAATACTGATGTCTGTAGTTAATCTAAGTCCATCATTAACTGTTCTATTATTTGTGATAGGAGATTGTTAAAAAATAAAGAAATGAACAGAGAAAATTTGTTTTTATTTATTAACTTTGAATTAATTTTATGTAAAATATTGAAGTTTTTCATGTTTGAAAGCTCTTGAAATATTACTTCCTTTTCCTCATATAGAAAAATATTGAAGGTCACTTTGAGATAAGTTTGTCTTTTAATTGTATATACTTATTAGTAAATACAAAGATAAATGGAATATCAGACCATAAACCAGTGAGAATCAACTTCTATAGTGGTATTTCATATTAGATGTAAAACTTCAATTTATTGTGCTCAAGTATCACTAAGAATGAAGCTAGTATTATATACATTATTCCACTCTCGCTAATTTTATAAATAAATCACATGTTTGGGTTTTAAAGAATAAAAGAAAACCTTAACAAGAAAGTAGAGAGGGAAGAGAGTGGATGGCTAATTTGAGTTGATAGCTTTGTGCATATATATATACAGGTGGTGTTCCTGTTTAAAAAGAAAGTTTGGATCCTAATCTTACCTGAATTTTATGATATATTACCATTGTTTCAGAACAGATAGTGATTTCTGATGCATTTATCTTATTCAGTATTTTGAATACTTAATTTGTTAAACTTCACTTGTAGTCGGTAATAAGAATGATGACCCAGACAGGAAGGTAGTGTTAACAGAAGATGCCCAACGGTTTGCTGATCAGATGGAAATCCAGCTGTTTGAAACTAGTGCTAAGGAGAACATCAATGTTGAAGAAGTAAGGAATTGTGTGTGTATGCATGTGACAAAGGATATATAATTTTCATTCTACAGGATGTTTGAAAAGTCTGGAACCATAGGCATTTCAACGAATTCTACAGAATGTGTTTCATGTGCTGTCCTTGTAATTCGAAATAAGTTTAGATTAACAGAAAGATTAACTCGACCTACTCATGCTTTGACAGTATCATAATCAGTCGCATATTAAGAAAAGCTGAAAATCACCTATTATTCCAGACTTTTTGGACACCCTGTATTATCAAATATTTTTATGCAGCTTTTCTTTCTTAATGCAAAAGTAACTTGAAAACATTTAATTAATTTTGCATATTAGTACTTTAGTGTTGTTAATTAAATATGTACTTATTTTCTTAAAAGTTCAAAGGGTTGAAATGTCATATCAAGGCCAAAAAAAATGTGTGTGGTTCTGGCAACATGCCCAAAAACGTTGGGGTAGGTAGGTAGGGATATTTTTTTTATGCATCATATTTGGCATGAATCAAATAACGATGGGTCAGTATGCATGTTTACATCTGTATTAAAGCATAAAAGGTATATGAACACTAAGAATGAACAAAATTTACACCTGTGCCTATGGTGAAAAAACTTTATTTAGATAGAGGAACTAAGAAGCTGGTTGAAAGAGATAATAACATCTGATTCCATTTTCACTATCTTAGTAACGTTTTTAGTTGTTTAACCTTTGCCATATGGTTGCACATATGCAGGTTAATATCCATTGGACGCAAAGTCCTGACAAAGTGGATAGACAAACTTGTAGCATTCTTTCAATTCTGCATCTGTCAGAGCTCCAGTTGAACCACAATACAAACGTACATCTCCATGTGCCGTACTACTACTGTTGTATGGAGTTTCAATGGGGGATTTGCAGGTGATATTAAGCCTTACAAAAGCTTTTTCATGAACAGTATGACCTGGTGGTGTTAGTGGATGCCTACAAGAGTAATCATTCTTAGAGATCAATACCACTAATTGTGACATATGTCACTCAGAAAACTTTGTTATGCTGTATATCACAAATGGTTTCCTACACTTGACACATTCAACTAGCAGTCTGGTATTCTGAGCAGTGCACATCTTTGAGTCTGTGGAAGGTATGTTCTCAAAACATATGCATTGAACTATGGGTTTGGTCTTTGAATGTGCAAGCCATGCTCTGTTGTTTTTGGATTTTGTTTTTTTTGGCTTTGGAACCTGTTTTTTGTTGACCACTTTCTGCTGCAAACTAGGTCTGTCTTCTTCATTTGATTCTTGGCCATAAACTGTGCAAATGTCTTGAAGATGACCTTCTCATCAGCCATAACAGGATCTGAGAGCCAACTGAGATTCAAAGGGTTATCTGCTATTTGTGGGCAGCATTCAGAATCATTACATACTCTGATCTGAAAGCTGTACTGGCTGACTCATCTTTGAGCTTGAGTCTGGAGAACCTGTTGTTAATAGTTCTCTGTGACAGCTGAACTGATTTCTTCCAAGCTTCTTTAAGTCTAGGTTTGTCTTGGGCTACCAGTCGGACATCATTTATACATTGACATTTCTTTAGCTGCCCCTCAAATTCTTCAGAACATTTCTCACGTCCAACAGCCACATTCTGAAGGTCTATATTCAAGAGCTACATCATTCTCTCCACTAGGTTACACCAGCTTTGGCCTGGGGCACGTCTGACAGCAATTAGCAGGTAGAGCTGTAACTCTTTAAAAAAAAAGAGTGATAAGAGAACACTACTGATTGTAATGTATTGTGCTGGTCTGCATTCCCATCCAAAAATTTGAGAAGAATATGAGGTTTCTTATTGAGTTGCTTGATTATTTTTGCTAGTGCTGCTGCATATCGTATTGGCATTGAGGGTGAGAATGTAAAGTCATTCACAATTGTTGTTAGAGTGCCACGGTAGAAAGATGAATTTATATTGTCTGGAATAGCATACTGAAGATGGTGTTAAACTACCAGCGGAGTGCAAGTCATGGTCTGCTGCAACAAGCGTTGTTGACAAAGAAGCCAGGGTTTTTTTACAATGAATTCTCGGCGACATGACTGATCCTGATTCACTGAAGCTGATCATGGCTTTATCACCATAGCAAAATAGACAACAGTCAGGTCCATGCTCCTTAGGTATTTGAATTGGGCACTACAGTAATGATCATCTGAGTGTGATACTCGCAGTTGTTGTTTTTGAATTTTGTATAGTACATTAAACCTGGATGTGAAGTTCACTATGGGTTCCTAGGCGTGAATTGCAGCCGAACATGTGAGGTCAGTGGAATAGGTGTATTTTCAGGACACCTGTTTTTGGCTTGTTGTACCATGTCCTCTAGAGATAGCCATTCTGACATGTATGCTGCTCCATGTCAATGTTTATTGGCAGCAGTGACTTCATCTACAATTTCATCAAGTTTGTCAAATAACACATCAAATGTTGGTTGGTCTTCCAGTATTTAAGCTGCACATGCCTGTTATGAGATTGTCTTCTCCAAGAGAAATGAGCTTGATCCTTTGTTGTATTTCTGGATGTGTGGAATGAGAAACATCCATGGCAAGTTCCTTGTATATAAAATCACACACACTGCCAGTTGGAAACTTGCAACATTGACTAATTTATCTCTGAACTGTTGATGCATCAATCATGTGTGATATTCAGGAAGATATGGTTTTATCTTCACTAAAATACAGGCTGACTATATCATTTTTTATGAATCACATCTGTTTGCAAAAACTTGCACAACAACAGCTACAGACAGCATTTCCTCCAGGTGAACATTTGAATAAATCAACCAGAATGGAAAGTTGGAGCTCCTCGAGGAGACAATGTCTTTGCAGGGTATACACGAATGGAGTGTCCAGATGTTGCTCTTCATCAAATACCACTGGCTTCAAGAGACCAGAATCTCGTACACATGCATCTAGTTTTTTTATTTTTCCTTTACAAAAAAGGTTCACATTGGTATGTATTGCATGGGGCAATTTTCAGATACTTGTCGATGAGGATGATGAGAATTTCTTCTCGATTCAGAGTGCTTCGTTTTAATTTCTAGATATGACCTGTATTTGTTGAGGCAATGAACTAAGTTCTTTACATCTGCTCAGAAATTCCCATCAAAGGTTTGTCAAGAATACTATACAGAGCTTGGGAATGACTGAGGAGTTGAGTTGCAGCCATTGGTTATTTTTAAGGTTTTTTCTCTTATAGTCATTATAACCTTGGAATTTGCTAAATAGTGGTGGAACTGGTATGATTGAAGCGTTTCTCAAGCTTGCATCAAAGGTAGTTCGGTGCTGGTTAGTTATATACCAGAAGGTATTGGTGATCACCTGCAACAGAAATATTTGACATGTATAGCAATTGACTCTGACTATTGTTATCTTTTTATATCATCAAAATGTTGACATTCATTTACATATAATATATTCTGGGATATATCTATGTTACCATCTTATAAGTGGTTGTCTTTAAACTTCAGTTTTATTTATTTAAATTGAAAGTAGGTATTGTTATATATTATCCTTATTATTATCCTTAATAAGTAATTTATTAAACTAAGTTTTTAGGATAATGAAATAAGTTATTCAAGAATAGATTGAAAACAATTTTAAATTATTGTATATTATTTCAGATGCAAAAAAATATTTTTGTACACGTAGTTATTCTCAATATTGCTGTAAAACTATTACATGTAAAAACTTATTTTTTCACCTTAGCATTAAAATTGAGTTAACCCTCTCGCTCCAGGTATCCTGTACTGCACATGACACAAGGTTTTAGTGTCTTATATTCAATATTTTATTAAACTACATTTTGTTTAACGTTATACCAATTAGCATAGCATAAAATCTTAGTTAGTAACCCATAAAAAATCCAGAATTTCCCCTAGTGTGACTAATATGACACATTTTCACTAGGTATCTTCTCATCCCCCCTCCCCAAGAAACTACAAAATTAAACGTAAAATTACTCACTATAAAATCATCATCACTCAGACAAACCAAGGTTATTTTTATGGCCTTTAATTTTGTTTGGTTACAGAGCTATCAAATAGAAAATCAGACCCCTTCTGCCACACCTACCTGTCACATCCTCTTATTCAGGATTTGTTAATAGTTCTCTCTCTTTTGTTTAATTATATATATTATCTATAATCAATTGAAAGTCAAAGTTTTCATCTATCATATGATGTGTTCTGAACACAGAATAGTCCATTTCACTTCAAATTCAACATTGGTTCCCAAGGGAATCACAACGGCTTGCTTGGATGCATTTGTATCGGCTTTTGTCACATAGTTAGAAAGCCGGAAAAATTTTGATTGTTAGAGGAAATTGTCTACTTTTAGCATGTTATTAGTCTATGTTCTTTGGTGCATTATTTAATTAAATAAAAATTATTTAATGCACTATTACCATTAGTTTAAAAAAAAGTAGGGTTAATTGTCATCAATAGTCAAGAGCAAAAAAAAAGAAGATTGGGTAAGTACTTTATTTCTTGTTTTTTATCTTTATTCATTATTTATTATTATAAAAGTAACTGAAATGTAAAAATAGATATCTCTCTAGGTTAGTTAAGGTTAGATTAGGTAAAATAAAAAATAAAAATGTTTCACAAGGCACACACGCAAGCAGCTCGGAGTAGCTCGTAGGTAATGTAATTCAATAGCATAATGCGAGTTGCACATTCCCCAAGTGATTTACAACTTATAGTAGTTAGACATGGTTCAAAATGCAATAAAATAATAAAATTTAATTACAAATACGTGTATACTGTTATGAGTTTAAAGCTACTTACAATAAACAAATGTAGTTTCATGCTACATTTGAAGTCATTCCAGAAGGAAAAGGAGGATAATTTAAATTTTTGGGGGGGTTACAAAG